CCCGCCGTCTCGACTGTTCGGTACTCATGCGGCAGTTCAGAGACACGGCGAGACATCAAATGGCCACCTACTTGTTGAGGATGTTGGAACACAAGACATGGTCTCCAGCATTCCACATGCAACCCTAGCTCGGCCGGCGAATTCACACGAGAATCACAGTCGGCATGATAGCGCAAGAGCTACCGTGATCGATTGGCCTTCCAGTGCTTTCTTATTTTGGGGCTATGATGTTCTCGCCCGCCTTTCGTACATGTGCTTAAACGCAAGCGATTCGTACTCTGGACCTTCTGAGAGAAGCTCCATCGCATGTAGACATCACCCATGTAGCATGCAAGGTACTGGCGAGAGGAAGAGCGCGACCTTCCCGTTTGGAGAATGTTTACTCCTCGTCGAGCTAAGACTTGACCTTGGCAGACTGAACCCAAACAACCTTCCTCTGCAGACGTTCTTCGCGCAGACTGCGTTGCACACACACCGATGGGATAAGCTGCAGGCCAAGGTGGCTAATAGCTTTCATGAAGAATGGATGAAGAAGGAGGCGATACCCCGGACCTGGCCGCCTCTGGAATCAATAAAATCGGGCCATCCTCAAAGAGGATAGGAATCCGACCGACTGTGACCTGTTTATCCCCCTGTAGAGACCACAGCCCAAGGTGTAGATCTGCTTTCACGCTCGACGAGATGGACATGCAAAGTATGCAGTCCAATCAGCACTAGGCTTATCCAGTGCGACATCTCACCGTCCAGCGGCCGGCTGTGCCTCTTGTGCAAGGTCAAGTTGCCCATCCACTTGACCCAATCCCACGTATCCATGATCCATGCCACGAACCTGCAGTTCGTCCCCACCACCTTCTCCCCCCCTAGCACCGCGTGTTAGCCAGCGGGATTATGGGCGAAGATGACCGACGCCAACCAGAATCTATATCCTCACAGCATGCCCTCTAGTCCGTACTTGCCTCTGATGTGTCATCCTCGGCGCTGCCGTATCTGGCTTTATGGTCCAATCAAAACTGTCATTGACCACCCCTCAGACAAGTGGATGAGTAGAGAGCGTCCCTCTCGTCTGGGCGCTCTTGCAGCCCTCTTCCCCCCACGACGCCGATGCTTTCCAGAGGCTCTTTCAGGCCGTCTCGGCTCTTCCTCGTGGCCCTGCCGGTCGCATTTCCTGTCTGTCCGTCATTCAAAATCCATCTTCCCTTGACTCCCCTTCCAGGCCACGAGGCTGTCGGCGAACGTCCTTCCAGCCCTACCTGTCAGACAAGAAAGGATCACCCAGTGTCGATCCTGGGCACGTGTGCTGTTCTGGACTGCTACCATACCTTGCCACTCGACCATCTATTGGGTCTTGCTCCAGTGGGTGTGAAGCTGACCGCGGGGTTGACCGACTCCCCACGGTAAGTTGCTGCTCAATATCGATTGCCCATTGTGAACAAAGGGTAGCGGCTTTTGGATACTTGCCACGCCCCATTCATTCTCTTGCTCTCGCGCTCCTGGTTGTGTCGCCCCCCCAAAGGCTGCCATCTGACTGTCCTGTAGTTCTGCCAAAACAATTGCGCTTTGCCCCTCGAACCCGCTGCTGGCAGTTTCATTGCCGACTTGAGATGCTCTGATAACGAGTAGGGCTTGTTCGTTCCTGTTCTCTCTACCTCATCGTAGCCGGCGTCCACTCACGACGCAGCCCTCGAAATGAGTCGCCCGCATCTTGCTGTCCTCCTTTCCGCCCTTGCCGCGTCGGTTTCTGCGCAATATGAAGGTTGGACGGAAAACCAGGTCAATGCCTCTTTGTGTCTATGGGGCCAACCTAGAGGTAGGGTTACTCTGCCTTCTTGACCAGAACAGCGGATAGCCTGATGCTGACCCATGATGCTAGCTGCTGTCATCAGAGATACCGTTTACCTAGACGGCGGCCTGATGATATGGTCGCAAGGCCTCTCCAACGGCGAATATGGCCCCTTGGACTCTGTCAGTCAGTTGCCCTGGCCACCATTCAGCTAGCTATCTGGTGAATACTCACAACTCTAGACAACCCGATGGGCCTCATGTTCACCTTCAATTTCAGCCAGCCGTTCAGTACTTCTGACAACCTGACGGCCTTTCTCGATCCACTGTCGAAGGCTCGTGGAGGCTTCGGCTCTAATGCGAGAGGCGAATCCCCCAACTTTTTCGATGGCGCCTTGCTGGGAAACGACGCCGAAGTCACCCTATTCGGTGGCCTGGTCAAGAAGGCAGAGCTCGACAAGGCACCAGCAGAAGACGAGGTGCTCACGTACCAGCGTTACCAGTATGGCCCGGAACGGGGCAACTTCAGACCAAACTTTGTCACAAACGAGCTTGACGGCGTCTCGCGTTACATCACCGACGGAGGCGCCGCCAGTGCGCCGTCGGAGAACAAGGCTTGGTACTTTGGCGGAATGAGGGGCCCAGAATGGGGGCCGGTCTTCCAGAGGAGCGCCAACATGTCAGAGAATGCAGCGAATGTGTCGCATACACTGATTACGCTGGACATGAAGGACCAGTTGACGCCCGTCTGGACAAATACGACACTCCCAGAGAGCATCCAGGGACGGGCTAACCCTGAGGTTGTCTGGGTCCCGGTCGGTGAACAGGGAATTTTGGTAGTAATCGGTGGCGTCACTTACCCTGACTGGGTGTCACCCACGCGCAGGTCGGAGAACGCGGCGCAGAGTGTGAGTTCTTCGCCCTGGGTCCGAATGATGGCGGGACAAAAGCTGACACCGACTCCAGAAGGAAGAGAGCGACAAGTTCATGCAGGACATTGACGTCTACGACATTGCGGGCGACGAGTGGTACAAGCAGCCATCCGAGGGCGCACCGACTGCCAGCACGCGAGGTTGCGCCGTCCTGGCGTCCGCCCAGGACGCCTCCAGCCACAACATCTACTACTACGGCGGATATCCCGGTGTCGACCCTCGCGAAGACTTTAGCGACGAAGTCTGGGTTCTCTCGCTGCCTTCTTTCACCTGGACCAGAGTCACCGAGATGCGGTTGGACTTTGCCAACACAGGCCACAGCTTTGCGCGGGTGGGACACAAATGCTTCAAGCCTTACCCCGATCAGATGTTGTCTTTTGGCGGCACGACTCAATTGACGGGGAATACTCCGGCGTGTCTGAGGCACAACAGCATCATCCAGGCGTACAACCTTAGCAGCGCTGAATGGATGGACTCGTATGACCCGCGAGAATACGCCAACTACACCGTGCCCAGTGCTCTGTTGGCTGTGATCGGAGGCAACCCTACAGGCTCGGCAACAGCTACCAGTCCAGCTGCGTCGGGAGGATGGGTCGACGATAAGCTGGCAGACGTCTTCGACACCGAGTACGACACGGACAAGATCCAGCAGTGGTTCCCTTACCCTGTCATCGAAGACAACACCCGACCTAGCATCCCCGACGATGGCAGTGGCGACAACGACGACAACAATGGAGGCGGAGGCGGCGGCACTCCCAAATGGGTCGCGCCCGTGGTCGGTGTCATTGTCGGCCTCGTAGTCCTTACCGCGTTCCTCGTCGGCTTCTGCCTCTGGCGCAAGCGCCGCTACATTCGCCGCGGCGACTACAGCGCGGCCAGCACGGACGAAAACGGCATGCGCGTCCTCTCCTGGATGCGCGGCCAGCACAGCGTCGCCAAGGATCCGACCGTCACCACCGAGGAGACTAAGTCAAACCCTGACATGGCCGAAGCGCCGCGCTCCCCGCCCGTCGCCTTCGCCGCTGCCTCCGCTCCTGATCGTGATCGGCAAAGCCCCCACGCCGAGCTCCACGACGTCTTCATTGCCGAGCTCCCAGACACGTCGCGGCCGCCCGAATTACACGACACGGGCCTCACGCCGGTCGAAATTATCTCGAAGCACTCCCACTTTGCCACCCCCGGCGCCCGCCCCTCGGGCAACCCGTCCTCCTACTACGGCTCCATCTCCGGGAACGAGGAGTCCTCCATCTCCCGCTCCTCCGGCGTCCTCGGCGCCCAGTCCCGCGGCCAGTCCCCCTCCCCTGTGCCGCCCGGGCCGCCGTCTCCGCCCATCATCGGCAGCGGCGGGCGCCCCGGTGCACGGGCGAGCAACGTCTCCGGCCTCAGTGAGCCGGAGAAGAGCCACCTCAGACAGATCAGCGAAGCGACGGTCAGCTCAGCCACCTCGTCAGCGGAGCGGGTCCCGCAGGTTGCCAGGCCAGCCAAGGAGCCCGCGACGCCCACGAGCCCCGGGGCCGTCAGTCCGCCGACGGGGGGCCCGGCGGAGGAGAGCGAGGACTACGTGTCGGCGAAGAGCCCGCTGCGCAGAAGCGTCTTCCAGGAGAGCGAGGAAGATCTCGGGGGCAAGAAATGAGAAGGGAATGGTGGGCTTTGATCCCACCCACAAGAATGCGCACAAGCAAGCGGCAATCGAGTATCTGATTTTTGTTTGAAGAGGATTCATGTGTCTTGCAGATCTCTAGTTGAGAATACCGTCAGGAATATGTACATTGGAGTTTTCTTTTCTTCTGAAACAACATGTCCATTCGACTCAATGCGAATGAAGTGACCGCCTCTGTAGTGTTTGACTACCTACCCAGATCCGTGATTTCTGCAAGACATGACGTCCTTGGCCTTTTCGTGCCGAACCTCGCGGATTCCGACCAGAATCATCGTGACATTATTTCGCCGTGGTCAATCACGTCTACTCGTTAATGCAGGGGAGCATAAATCTGCATACATTACCAATGCATCGTTGGTTGATCACAAAAGTCTATCCCTATCACATACACCGAGTCATCCTCGGTAAACGGCGCGCAACCAGGCCTGCGATCATGCAAACTCCAATAATCTGTAAAGCCGGTCGCCGCCCGCTTTGTACAAGTGGTATCATTTCAAGAGAACAGGAACAGAAAAACCAGCAGACCCTTTTGGTCGGCCCGACCTCAGTGCAATCGATAATCTCGACAACTAGGAGACTTGACACCATATCAACTCGAGTGGCATTCAATACCAGTTGAGCTCATTTAGTCAGTCGGCCTCATCCAAAAGCTGATCAAGGAAGGTGCCGGGATGAGGCTCGCCGCAGCAAGGACAGATGCTGATGCTGTCCTCATCCTCATCCTCTTCATCATCGTCATTCCCATTCTTATCAGCGGGTGGTTCGATGGGATACCCACTACTGCGGCAAAACTCAACCCATCTCCGCTCCCCGGAGTTGCGCGAGATTGGAACCCGCTTCCAGATGACCTTGTCCTCTCGATGAGAGGTCGGATGGCCTTCCTGGGCAGGAGCAGAAGGCATTGTGGGGATATGCGAGTGATGAGCGTCCAAGCCGGACCCGTCCAAGGCGTCAAAGTCGGTATCTTCGCTATCGCTGAGTTCATCATCGATCGGAACGGCAGATGTGCCCAGCGAACCGACACGAAGGGACTTGTAGGCGCGGATCACTCGAGCACAGATGGGATGGCCGCTGAGTGAAAGAACCCCTCGCTTAGTCTGCACATAGGCAGGCACTCCCGTCATGTAAAGACCCTCATCCCGTAGGAGACCAGTAAGCTCGGCGGAGGCCTTGACTCCGGGGTCGTCGATGGGGAGGCCAGTCACGTAGAGTTCATTCAAAGAACATCCCAACTCATGTGAGGCCATATTGTGCATGTCGTTTCCAAACATGGGAAGTTTGTCGGCTGTAAAGTTGACCAGGTCGATATGTAGAGACTCTAGGGCAGGCAGCAGGCGAGGCCTGATCTGCTTCTTGTCGTGCTTCGGGTCGAATGGGGGACGAAGCGCCGCAAGAAAGTCAACAATCTGCGACCACGAGTAGCAGCGGAAGGA